CTTGTCTTTTAAACTATGTGTGATATTCTCTGATCTGCAGAAGGTAAAAGTTTTGTGTATTCAAGCTACACAATCTTTTCCCTTAGAATTTCTTGTGTTGCTTTTAAAAAAATTAACCTTGTTATTTTGAGATAATTATAGATTCTCAGGCAGTTGTAAGAAATAATACAACCCAGGCACAGTGGCATGCACCTGGAGTCCCAGCTACTCAGAGGCTGAGGTGGGAGGATCACTTGAGCCCCAGCCCAGGCAACATGGTTAAGACCCCATCCCTTTAAAAAATAATACTTATCGTAATGCAGAAATCCCATGGAACCTTTATCCAGTTTCTCCCAAAGGCAACATCTAGCAAAACTGTATTACAGTATACAACCAGAATATTAATATTAATATAGTCAGTATACAGAACATTTTCCATCACCACAAGGATCCCTTATGTGGCCCTTTCATGGCACACTTACTCTTTCCTACCCCTTTTTCCCTTCTTGACTCCTAGCAACAACTAATCAGTTCTCTATTTCTATAATATTGCCATGTCAATTATAAATGGAATCATATAGTATGTAACCTTTGGGAATTAGGTTTTTCCGACTCAGCATAATTCTCTGGAAATTCATCCAGGTTGTTGTATACATAGTTCATTTATTTTTATTGCTGAGTGTATACTAGAGTATATATGTACCACAGTTTATTCACCTACTAAAAGACATTTACGTTGTTTCTAGTTCTTGACTATTAAAATTAAGCTACTGCCGGGCGCGGTGGCTCACGCCTGTAATCCCAGCACTTTGGGAGGCCGAGGCGGGTGGACCACGAGGTCAAGAGATCGAGACCATCCTGGTCAACATGGTGAAACCCCGTCTCTACTAAAAACTACAAAAAATTAGCTGGGCATGGTGGCGCGTGCCTGTAATCCCAGCTACTCAGGAGGCTGAGGCAGGAGAATTGCCTGAACCCAGGAGGCGGAGGTTGCGGTGAGCCGAGATCGCGCCATTGCACTCCAGCCTGGGTAACAAGAGCGAAACTCCGTCTCAAAAAAAAAAAAAAAAAAAAAAAAAATTAAGCTACTATAAATATTCACAAACACTCATATGCAAAAGTTCACAGCTGCTTGAGTCATAAGAGTACAAAGCTAGGAACAGCCCAAATGTTCCTCAACTGGTGAATGGACAAACAAATTATAAGCATATAACTAAAAAAGGCTGTTCTGGACCCAACCTAAAAAATGTTAAAGCCTTAAAGGATTCAACTAATTTCTGCTAACCCAACTGCTTACCTAATGAAATCCAACATTATTTAAAGTACTAAAATGAAATCCAGCACCTAGCAATGTAAAATTTGTAATATCCATCATCCAATCAAAACTTACCAGGTATGCAAAAAAAAAAAGGAAATTAGGACCCATTACCAGCAAAAAAAAATTAGTCAACAGAAACATTCCCAGAAATGCCATGGATGATGAAATTAGCAATTAAAATTGTCAAGAAAGCTACCACAGATATGCCTCATGTTTAAGAGAGTAAAATGTGAATAAATGAGAGAGAGAAAAAAGATCTAAAAGAAACTTCTAGAGATGATAATATTTGAAATTAAAAAACACTGAATAAGATTAATAGTGGGTCAGATGCTATAGGAGACATCAATAAACATGAAGACATAGCAAAAAAAAAAACTACTCAAAACTAAGCATGGTAAGAAAAAAAAACCTGAAAAAAATTGAACAGACCTTACATGACCTGTGAGGCAATATCAAACACATATGCAACTGGAGAGCCAGAAGGAGATAAGTGAGAGACACAAAGACAAAGATCATTAATAAAATAACGGCCAAAAAAATAGATCACATATCTAAGTTGTTACCTTGAAAAACAAGAAAAAGGCAAATTAAACCAAAAGTACAAGAAAGAAGGAAACACAAGTCAATAAAATAAGAAACAACAACAAAAAAAGAAACCAAAATATAGTTCTTTGAAAAGATCAACAAGGTTGATAAACCTCTGGCCAGCTTGATCAGGAAAAGAAACAAATTACCAGTATCAAGAATAGAAGAGAGTACACTCCTACAGATCTTACATACATTAAATGGATAATTAGACTATACAATGAACAACTTTATACTAATCATAAAGTTGACAATATGGATGAACTATGTAAATTCCTTGAAAGGAACAAACTATCGAAGTTCATTCAAGAAGTGAATGACCTGAATGGCACTATATCCATAAAACACATTAAATTCATAGACGTCTTTCCCACAAAGAAAACTCCAGCCCAACTGGGTGCAATGGCTCATACCTATAATCCCAGCATTTGGGAGGCCAAGATGAGAAGACTGCTTAAGAACAATTCAAGACCAGGCATGAGTAGCTAGGCCTACAGACATGCACCACCATGCCTGGCTAATTTTTTCAAATTAAAAAAAATTAAAAATTTAAAAATTAGCCAGGCATGGTGCATGCCTGTAGGCTCAGCTACTAAGGAGGCTGAGGTGGCAGGGTTGCTTGAGCCCAGGAGATCAAGGCTACTGTAAGCCATGATCATGTGCCACTGTACTCTAGCCTGGGCAACAGAGCAAGACTGTCAAAAAAAAAAAGAAAAAAAGAAAAAAGAGAAAGGGAGGAAGGGAGGGAGGGAGGAAGGGAGGGAAAGAGGGAGGGATCCACACCAAGATAGTATCTTTGGAGAATTCCACATAACTTTTATGGAATAAATAACGGCAACTCTCCAGAAACTTTTCCAGAAAACAGAAGAAGGAACACATCCCAATGCATTTTATAAGGTCAGGATTACCTTGAAATCACAACAAAAGACATTATAGGAAAAGAAAATCACAGACCGATATCTGTCACATATGTAAGACCTATACACTGGAAACTACAACACACTGCTGAGAGAACTTCTAAAAGAGCTAAATAAATGGTGAGATATAACACATTCATGAATTAGAAGATTCAATATTGTTAGGGTATCAATTCTTCCAAACTGATCCAAAGATTCAAAGCAGTGTCAATTAAAATCCCATCAGGCTTCTTTATAAAAACTGACACACTGATTGTAAATTTATATGAAAATGAGAAGGACATAGAATAGCCAAAATAATTTTGGAGAAAAAAATCTGAACAACTTGAACTACCCAAAATCATGACTTAATATAAAGACACAGTAACAAAGATCATGTGATATTGGTACAAGTAGAGACATACAGATCAATGGAACAGAACAGCCCAGAACAGACAAGCACATGCATGGTGAACTGGTTTTCAAGCACATGCCAAGCTAATTAAATGTAACAAAAGAAGCTGAACAATTGGGTATTTAATATGGAAAAAAATAAACCTCAGTCCTGATAGTATCTATAAGGTTAACTCAAATTAGATCACAGGCCTAAATGTAAAAGCTAAAACCATAAAATTTCTAGAAAACACAGGAGTTAGGCAAACCTTGCGTTAGCCAAAGATTTCTTAAACAGAACATAAACAATGTAAATCATAATAATTTGAACTGAAAAATAATAAATTGAACTTCATCAAAATTTAAAACTTCTGCTCTTTGAAAGATGCTGTTAAGAAAATATAAAGCAAGCTACAGACTAGGAAAAAACATTTGCAAAATGCATAACTGATAAAGAACTTGTGCCCAGAATATATAAAGAACTCTTCTAACCTAACAAGAACCTAATCAACCCAATTTAAAAACTGGTAAATGATCTGAACAGACACTTCAAAGATACGCAGATGGCAAATAAGCACATGAAAAAATGTTCTTTATTAGTCATTGGAGAAAGGTAAATTAAAGTCACAATTGATATATCATTTTACACTCACTAGAATGGCTAAAATGAAAAAGACTGACAATACCAAGTGTTAACAAGGATGTGGAGTAACTTCAATTGCCATACACTGCTGGTGTGAAGAGAAAAAGTAGAGCTTAGGAAAGCAGGTTGACACTTTCTAATAAAGTTAAACATGTGGCCAGGCATGGTAGCTCACACCTGTAATCCCAGCACTTTGGGAGGCCAAGGCAGACGGATCACTTGAGGTCAGGAGTTTGAGACCAGCCTGGCCAACATGGTGAAACCCCATCACTACTAAAAATACAAAAATTAGCTGGGTGTAGTGGCAGGCGCCTGTAATCACAGCTACATGGGAGGCTGAGGCAGGAGAATCCCTTCAACCCAGGAGGCAGAGGTTGCAGTGAGCTGAGATTGTGCTGCTGCACTCCAGCCTGGGAGACAAAGTGAGACTGCAGCAAAAAAAAAAAAAAAAAAAAAAAGTTAAATATACAATTACCTTAAACCCAGAAATGTCACTCCTAGGTATAGACCCAAAAGAATACAAATATATGTTCAAATAAAGACTCATATGCAAAAGTTCATAGCTGCCTGAGTCATAAGAGTGCAAAGCTAGGAACAACCCAAATGTTCCTCAACTGGTAAATGAACAAACAAATTATGGTACAAGCATGTAACTGACTACTACTCAGAAAGAAAAAAAGTACAGATATGCTCAATAACAAACATGAATGTCAAAAGTATTATGCTAAATCAAAGAAGCCAATGAGCGTATGCAGTATGATCCATTTACATAGAAAAGGCAAAACTAAAGGCAGAGAAAGCACTTCAGTTGTCACCAGGGGCAGGAGAAGGGCATAGCTGCAAAGAGTGGGGAGCTTTCTGGGTGACGGAAATGTTCTTTATCAAAATTATGGTGTGATTACACAAACTCTATTTGTCAAAACTCATCCAACTGTACTTTCAAAATTGGTGAATATGACTGTTTATATATTATGCCTCAATAATGAAGCTGATTTTTTTTATTGCATTTTAGGTTTTGGGGTACATGTGAAGAACATGCAAGATTGTTGCATAGGTACACACACAGCAGTGTGATTTGCTGCCTTCCTCCCCATCACCTATATCTAATGAAGCTGATTTTTTAAAAATCTGTAAGATCTCTTTTCTGGGCTGATAGCTAAGAAAGAAATGAGAAGACACTGTTTACCTTCCCAGTCCTCCATGTAAGGAGCCTCTTCGGCTTCTTTCTCTGGAGAAAATCTGTCAACGAATTTTCCTTCTTTCATGACCCTGGTGATTTCTCGGAGCTGATGCAGCAACCGTTTCTCTTGGTCAGAAGTCACAGTCTGCGGTCTGCTTAGAAACATCAGACAGTCCAACCATTTAGTGGTAAATCCTCCTAGGCAATGGACATAAACATCACTATGGTCTGTCTGGATACAAGAATAGAAAGTGCAATTGCAGCAGATAATTATTCTAGGAATTGATCCTCAAACTGCATAGCTGGGAACCAGAGATGTTAGTTCAATGCTTTGATTTTATAAATGGGAAAACTAAAGCCCAGAATAGATTAAGTGATTGCCCAAGGTCCCAAAATTAGTTAATGTCAATACTAGGACCAGGCCCCAGATGTCTCGCTTTCAGTTCAGTGTTTTTTCAGTGTATCTCAATGCCCTGATTCTCTAATCACTTAACAATTTCACTGTTACTCACATTACCCCATTTACTACAAGCCACTTTTCTCTGAAGCAAGGTCATCAAAGGAAAATGTTCTGGGCCATTAGCCTCAACCAGGGAAAATTTATGCTACTGGAATCACCAGGCTAAATTTACCTGTGCAGGTATAATGATATATTCTAAAATTTCAGAGGTGAGTAATTTTGAAAATTCAATCATCTAGACTAGAGAAACTGGGGTCCACAGAGGAGAAATATTGTTTATATATTAATACTGCCAGTTAATGGAAGCACTATAACTAAAACCATCCAGATTTCTGATCGCATTCTGTGCAATTCTTGAAGCACAGTGCTCAAGTTCCACATTTTGGAAAACCTGGTTTGAATCCCAACTTAGCTGTGTGACTCTGGCAAATATGTGCAAAAATAACATGAGACTCAAGGACAATAGTATGATTATTTTTTTTGAGAGGAAAGCACTGCATCACAGTGCTAGGCAAACACGGTCCTACTTAAAAGACTGAGAACTATCTGCTTTGAGACCAGTTTTATCTAGCAGCAGGATTTAATGGAGGCCACTTATTCTCCTCTTAAAACCCAGACACAAGTTAATATCACACTTACAAAGGAAAAATGACGCACTCTGTACTAGCCTTGTGGAGACAGTCATGTATTTTTCTAACAGCCAGTTCTGGGCCTGCACTCCTTTTTATGCTCAGCCTAACTAACTTTAGCCTTAATGACTAACAGGAAAAAAAAAAAGAGTAGTTCTCTTTCAACATGAAGATAGTAACTGAGGATATGAAAAGCCAACATTACCACAGACCTCAGTGAAAGTAAAAACAAAAACACCATGAGCTCTACTTCTTCCACACTAAGTAGCTTCAAAGCCGTGAACTACTAAAGATGCCTGTCTGTTCCACATTCAGCTAAAATCCTATACTTAAGTAGGGCCTCTGATAGCTCTATTCTTCCCATTAGTACAGGAGTCCTGACTCTCCACAACTGCTCGTGTGCCCTACATAACCCCTAATTCTTACTGTTAAAATAACCCACTTTATGTGAGGCTTCTGGAACAGACTAGAAGAGCTTAACTGCCTTAACCACAAACGCTTGTCTCTTTAAGTGGCACATGTTACTTTTCCGGACTGTACACAGGCCTTTCTGATCTTCAGTGAATGGGTCTGAATTCTGTTTCCTAAGTTATGGGAAATCAGAAGCCCTTATCCTAAAAGAAGATGCATAGGCCAGACACAGTGTCTCACGCCTGTAATCCCAGCGCTTTGGGAGACAGAGATGGATGGATTACCTGAGGTCAGGAGTTCGAGACCAGTCTGACCAACATGGAGAAACCTCATCTCTACTAAAAATACAAAATTAGCCAAGCATGGTGGCACATGCCTGTAATCCCAGCTACTTGGGAGGCTGACACAGGAGAATTGCCTGAAACCAGGACGTGGAGGTTGCAATGAGCCGAGATTGCGCCACTGCACTCCAGCCTGGGCAACAAGAGCAAAACTCTGTCTCAAAAAAAAAGAGGATGGGTAGACAAGAGGAAGCAGGAACAGACAAGAGCTTTCCCAGAGAACTCCAAACCAAAGCATCCTCAGTTCACTCTAAACAAGTACACTTTTATTGTCCATATCATGCATTAAACATTAATCGTGGTCTACCTTATGACATCTTCTGAATTTACTGCAATGAATATTTTTATGGATTCCTTATAGTCTCAGCTTGGTTTGATACTCCTACAGGACAGTAATAATTAAGTTCACAACAGTATAGGCACAATGCCATGATCACTGTTAAGAGCTCAACAATTATGTATTAGTTTGACTCATTCCCATTTCCTCACCATCCATTATTTCCTTCCACCTCTCTGAATTCTGAATTCTATTCTATCATTTTACCAAAACTTGCAAAAACTTTTACTCCTAAGTGGTTTTCACTTTACTAAGTCCAAGGGTCTTTTTCTCATATTTGATTCTTCTTGACTTCTCTATATCATAGACCATTCTCTCTCCTTGAAACCTAGCTATTGAGACATTTGTATTCCTCCCACTTCTTTAACCATTCCTTTCATCTATGATTCTGGCTCACTTTCATCCACCCTCCTCCCAAAACAATTTTCCCAAGGCTCAATCCTAGGACTCTCATTTCTCCATTCTTATAATCATGCCCTCAGGAAGTTGACCCAGTACCATGGATTAGACCATTACCTCTACAGAAAAGATGTCCTAAGGCTACCTTCAATCTTGACTTTTCACACAAATCCCCATCTCACAACTCCAGTTATTTCCTGGGCATTTCCATTTTGAAGGCCTTGCAACTATGTTAAAGTTAACCTTAAAGTCACCTCTTGAAACCAGGTCCCAGTTGGCTCAGTATTGTGAGCAGCTACATGAACAGGTAGCCCAAAAGAGGCTGAGTATGGAAGATTCTAAGATGATAGAAAAATAAGAGGTCACAGTTGGGATATAGTCTCACCAGAATTTTGAATTCTATAAGCCTAGCAGAGCCATCAAGTTCCAAATCCAAAAATTAAGTACAGAGAATTAAACAGATTTTAATAACACCATTCATGGCTAGAACAGAACTCAGACCAGTAAATGAAGACTTCAGGCTATGGCAAAACACTCTGATATGCCTCAAAGATTTGGTGATCTCAGCTTTCTCCATGGAGATTTTCTCCATCTCTCACTCCCAGTCAAATGACTTCCAATCCTGAGCCCTCTGCTTTGACCTTAAGAACCAAATTTCCTATTGCTGTTTCATATTATACATGGATGTTCCAATAGCATCTCGGACATACTCAATGCTGAACTCATGATCTCAACTCCAAAGCCTTATGTACTTTCCCTTCTTTTGTATTTTATCTTGGTTAATGACATAATCTTCCTTCCAGTTTGGCTGTAAATTTCCAATGCATCTTTATTTACTTATTCTTCTTCATTGCTCTTATCTGGTTAGTTTTCTTTTGGGGAACCAACTCCTCCTCCATTCATAGTGCAAAGGTTAGTGTGAGCCAACCATCCCCTACCCTCTCCTTCAAGGCTGGCCGTGTGACCCACAGCTAATCATCATCTTCCATTCCTTGGCTGCAGGGATTGATTCAGGTATAGATATAGGACCCAAGTTGGGCCAACTATACTTCTGGACCTTGAACACTGTGAAGCCTGAACTGAATACTTGTGACATTAAATTCACCCTGGCAACAGTCCATGAGGAGACTGTCCCTTTGTTCCTGCTCCCTAAATGCCCAAAGCTGCTCTGATTACCACCTTTCCTGAAACCTGGATGTTCAGCTATTCCTTTGATATTATAAGCTATCCCATATTCTTCCAATAAATTCTGCCTCCTCATACTCCAAGTTTTGTGCTAGCCAGAGTTGGCTGCTTACAACCAAGGAAGGCTGATACAGCCTGTGATTTTTTTTTTCTTCCATTAGGTCCCCTTAATTTGTCCCCTCTTTTCCACTCTCACTGGCGGATTTATTACTATTTGATGAAACCTTTTCAATAACCTTCTAGCATGTAGTCACTCTATTACTGTAAGAGTTATTTTTCTAAAGCACAGCAAATTGTGACATTTCTCCTCAAAAGCCTTCAGAGTCAAAATAAGTGTGTATTGTGGATGGAGAGGACCCAGGCAAACGAAAAGGCATATGCAAAGTCCTAGAGGCAAAAATGTACAGGTATTTTAGAGGAACAGCAAGTGGTCAGTGTGGCTGGACCACAGAGAGAGTGATAAAGAAAAATAGAGAGAGGTACACAAGGCCAGGTCACTCAGGCCCATGTAAGCTATGTTAAAGATTCTGCAGTTTTTCAAAATCAAAAGGGACCTGTTGAAGGATTAAAACAAAAAAGATAATCCATCTGTTTGGAAAACAGAAACAAAACTGAAAGGAGGCAAAATTAGAGAAACCACATGAGATGGTTATGACCTATGTCAAAAACAGGCATTCATTCATTAATTCATTCACTCACTCACTCATTCTTTCTTCATCTAATACTTTTTTTTGAGCCTTTTATGTGCCTGTGCTAAGCTCCAAAGCTAGGAAGGATAATCCCTGACCTCATGGAGCCTACAGTCTTTTGCAGGGAGACAGACTTATTAATTAAATAGAAATGACAAGACATGGTGATTGATGAGATATGGGAAGTAAAAGAAAAGGTGAATCAAGGATAACATCTAATTTCTGCTTTGGGCAACTAAGTGGATGACAGAGCCATTTGCTGAGATGGAAATTAAAGGTAGAGTAGGTTCAGTTGAGGGATATATATTGAATGAATCTTAGACATTCGTTCATTCAATAGATATTTCTCATATGATGAGGCTAAAGGTAGGTATTTATGAGATATGTTAAATGGGCTCTGTATATAGAGATCAGGAACTGAAGTAAAGGACCTCACAACAGGGAATGGTCATGATTTCCTCTTCCACCACAAAAATGTACAAATGCTTATATCAAAAGTGAATAGGGCCGGGCATGATGGCTCACACCTGTAATCCCACAACTTTGGGAGGCCAAGGTGGGCAGATAACCTGAGGTCAGGAGTTTAAGCCAAGCCTGGCCAACATGATAAAACCTTGTCTCTACTAAAAATACAAAAATTAGCTAGCCATTGTCACGTGTGCCTATAGTCCCAGCTACTCGGGAGGCTGAGGCAGGAGAATCACTTGAACCCAGGAGGTGGAGGTTGCAGTGAGCCAGCACTGCAGCCTGGGTGAGAGAGAAAGACTCCATCTCAAAAAAAAAAAAAAGTGAATAGGTATATTCTCATTCAATAAGTATTTACTTAGTACCAACTACACAAACACAGTGAACAAAATAGGCTAAGTGTAGCCTCAAAGAGTTTACATTCTGGGAATTCATGGCAGAAATCTGCAGTTCCACATACCATACTCAACATGCCTTCCAGGGCTCTTTGCTGCCAGAGGTTGCACCCTCACTGCTTGACCATATTATGCTTCTAGCAGGTAAACTGTTATAACTGGGCTTGCTATTCCAGAAAGGAAATTTTGTTAATCATAAGGACAGAAATCAGGACACTTCACTTCTGATTCCTAGATCTTTTCCTCAGTCTTTGTGTCCTTGAGCTGAACACTGTGCTTAATATCAGACAGAGCATGGCATAAGACTGACATTCTAGGAGTCATTATTTAAATATGTGTATAGACCTACATCCCTCACAAGTAAAACCTTTCTGAAAAGCTTTATTAGATAATATAAAAAAATTTCCCCATATTTCTGTTCTTACTTAAGCATTCAGGTAAAGTTTCAGAAAGTTTCAGAAACTGCAGAGTTCTCGAATTTTAAGCCAACAACCTGCAGTTATGGAATATTATATAAAAGGACTTAAGAGGCTGTAAATGAATGTGTCCCCTGCTTTACCTCCAGAAACCCAGATATGTGATACAATTTTGATCTGACAAAACAAATACTGGAATATTTTGGGCTTTCCCAATAATTATAGAAGCATAGACTTGTAAAAGAACACGTCACAGAAACTGAGGTTAAAGGACACAAATGTAGGTACAAAAGGGAAAACAATGTAGAAACATGGTGCGATTGTTTGAATATTTGTCTCCTCCTATACTCATCTTGAAACTTAATTGTCATTGGAAAAGTATTAAGAGGTAGGACCTTTATGAAGTAACTAGGACATGAGAGCAGAGCACTCACGTATAATATATATAAAGCATTTACTTCAAAGTATGATCCTTAGTAAGTGTTCAATAAATATCACACTCACAATATTATACACTCACACAGATATATTCATGTATTTATACAACTCTGATGCAGCAAGAAGACCCTCATCTGCCTGTAAACCCTGGACTTCGCAGCCTCCAGAACTGTGAGCTAACTAAACCTCCATTCTTTATATATTACCCAGTCTGTGGTATTCAGTTACACCAACAGAAAACATACAAAGACATATGGGCTGCCTAGCCCTTCCAATTTTTAGGGTATAAGTCCCATAGGGTCTACCTGTAAGGATAAAAGATGTTGGATTAAGTGTCAAAGAGAAAAATCACATTTTATGAACTAAAAAATAAGAGATTTGGTAAACAGCCAGGAGCCATGCTCTCTCTTCAGTGAGAAGACAGCTGCTCCCCAGTTCCTGAGAGGTAGGGTAGAAAATGTTTTACACAGTCGCTGCCATGCTGCAGGCTTCAATTAATGTGTTCCCAAGGAGTCCACACCTCAGCGACTTATAAAAAGTAAACATTCTGGGCTAGGACCTGTAGCCCCTGAAACAAGACAGTACAACTCCAGATGTGATATGGGGACAGCTTCTCTGCCTCTGCACATAAAACAAGGAGAAATAAACCTGGCACAAAGAGGACAGACAGTAGTTAGGGATTACAGTATTGCATTACTGGCTTGGGTTATAGATATATGGTGTACATGGGTTGAATGGTGGAATAATTTGAGTTATGGGAGTCTGCTACTCAACAGTAAATAATAATGAGAAAATATCTTCATGTAGTCTCTTACCCCAAGCTCCAGGAATTGGGTCTCCCAAGTGACAAGTCCTGCCCATAGGTATCCATCTATGGTTTCCATGACCCTTAGGTAAGTAAAATCAATTGGCCTGGCATTTCCAATAGCCCAGGCGAGTGTACAGATATTTTTTTAAACACAACTGTCTATAAAAGCCTGGGTAGTTCTCTACCCAGGCTATAGGTGGCAGTTACAGGGTTAGGGCAGACAAGGCCAGAAAAGTATAATTGCACAAATTGGTTTAGTCACACTCATACAAATAGTCGTATGTTAGATAATGTATATAAAGCATTTAGTTCAGAGTGTGGTCCTTGGTAAGTGTTCAATAAATATCAACTATTACTATACATTCACACAGATATATTCACGTATCTATACAACTTTGGGGAACACTCCAGATAGTAACTCTGCTTTCCAGACAGAAAGATCAAGGCTCCTGGGCCCACACAGGCAAGGTTCATCCTCATAAATGTCATTTCAACAGCACTGCAGATATTGCAGAGAAATGCCAGGTCAGGAGGCTGCAATCTGAGAATACCCACTCTCTCCTATCCAACCAAAGATAGGCAAGGCTGGAGCCAGTGAACAGAGAAAGAGGCCAGGGTACTAGTACTATAAAGGATGGCAAATAGAAGAGGCTAAGGTAGAGCAACGATTTTCTGGGGCAAAAACTACATAATGTGCCCATAAACCTGCAGGAGGGACATTCTGACATTTTCTTCTACAAGGGATTCTGCCACTCGCCCTGACATTCTTCCTCCATCCTTGCCAGAAGAACTAGCTGAAACTGAACCTCATCTCACATACTGGTTTTTCCTTCCTGCCTTCCTATATCCACATTTTCTTGGTTGTTGTCCACTTCCATCAACCTCCTGAAGCTACCTTTTCAGATTCTCAGTCAGCCTGGTAGCAAGAGGAGTGTCTTCCCTTTGGAGAAATCTAAATGGCTAGTTTGGCTCTTAACATCTAATTTACATGTCTAATTCTGTGCTGGCATAGTCAACACAAACATGAACGCCTCATCTGATCACACTTGCTCTCTTCTCTCATTTTGTCTCAAGTAGAAAGTCACACGTTCAATAATCTGATTTTACTTAAAATTATACCTATTTTAGACAGGAAGTTTTCTTTCTTAAGTCCTAGTTATTTCACCCTGCAGGAGTTACTCACAAATTTATTCATTTTCACAATAATTTGCACAACATTAAACTTCTGAAAACTGAGGTTGCTTGACAGTATGGGAATGAAAAGTGTTAAATGAGAAAGAATATGTAAATGACATATTTACAATTTAAAAACTGACAGTACATAAAATCAAAATAAGTGGTCTATTTATCAAAAAAAGAGCCTAATTTTGAACTGATTTTCTAAATGAGAACTAGTCTGATCCTGTTACATGAAAACCTACCTCTCACCATTAGGTCCCACTCTGTTGATTAATTTTTCCATGGCTGCTTCTGTTTCCTTCAGTTTTTCTTGCAGTTGAGCAAGCTCAAAACTGGCTGAAAAATAAGCAACAGTCTAAGAACCATCACAGACAACTAAGCCTGTTAAAGAGACCACACATTTTAAAAAAAAAACTATTGTACTGTTGTACTTCCCATTCTCACTTAAGAATACAGCAGTTTTATTAAAAGATTCTGTGAATATTTAATATTTCCAAAAAGTATGCAAAGTATGACTGGGATATTTAGCTCCATAGAAAATACAGAAGTAAGGCCAGGCACGGTGGCTCATGCCTGTCATCCCAGCACTTCGGGAGGCAAAGATGGGTAGATCATGAGGTCAGAAGATCAAGACCATCCTAGCCAACATGGTGAAACCCCGTTTCTACTAAAATACAAAAAATTAGCCGGGCATGGTGGCGCACACCTATAGTCCCAGCTACTCGGGAGGCTGAGGCAGGGGAATCACTTGAACCCGGGAGGTGGACGTTGCAGTGCGCCAAGATCATGCCACTGCACTCTAGCCTGGCAACAAAGTAAGACTCTGTCTCAAAAAAAAAAAAAAAAAAGAAAGAAAGAAAAGAAAAGAAAATCCAGAGGAAAATCCAAAAAGCAATCAAAAAGCAGTTACAACCCAGATAGACATGACTTCCTGCAATGCTTTTGCCAAGTCTCTTCATTGTGGGTGGTAAATTTTTCATAGGTTATTTTTCCTGACATACATTCTATTTTTCCTGACATTCTACTCTAGTCTATACATTCTTTGAGGAAAGAGTCATGTTGTATAAATTTAATTTCCCCAGAGAACACAGAATATTCTAGTTGTGTAATAAGTAACGGATGGCTATGTTTCAAGAGTCAGAAGTGTTAAATTCTTTCCCTAGATCTAAAAACTGATTTTGGCAATGACATGATTTCTCTGCCTCAGTTTTCCTCTCTGCTACCAATATTTTGAAGTCTGGAAATGAGAATTCATTCCAAACATGAAATATTAATTTGCTAATATATAAAAAAGTAAACTGGTAGTTTTGTACTTTTAGTAGCTATCCTTTTCTTAAAACCCCAACATCAATATAAAAACTTCTGAGAATTCCCAGAACTAAGGCAAAAATGGCATCAGATTAATTTGGAGCAACTTTTGAGAAATGCTCTTAAGACATACCCACAGACTGTCCCTGTGGCTATAACTGTTTGACTCAATGATACCTGTGAATATACTGAAAAGGGGCACTTACTAATTTTCCTGTGGGTGTTTCCAGGTGTGGCAGTGGAACATTTCCCATCCTCTGCAGTTGTTTTCCCCTTTGAGAGCTGAGAATTGAAGGAGGTATAGCACATCAACAGCAGCTTAGAACCTCAAAGTCACAGAACCCCTCATATCAAATAAAAAAAAAAGAGGTTGGGAGACAAAAATGAAGTCAGAAATGAAATCACATAGCAACATTAGAGAAACATCTCAAAAAAAAAAAAAAAAAAAAAAGATGAGGTTTCCAAGTAAAAAATTATCAAGGCACATGGAAAAAATCTCCCTACAGGTCATCTTCCTTGCTCATGCTCACCCAAAAGGGATGTGTGTCATCCTAGGGGCATTCTTACATACTCAACTCAGACTGCCTGCAGAATTCCTGGGCAAGAAAGTACTCATCTTACTTAAGATGGCTCTAGGCAGGGTGCGGTGGCTCACGCCTGTAATCCCAGCACTTTGGAAAGCCAAGGCAGGTAGATCATGAGGTCAGGAGATTGAGAGCACCCTGGCCAACATGGTGAAATACTGTCTCTACTAAAAATACAAAAGAAAATTAGCTAGGCATGGTGGTGCACACCTATAATCCCGCTATTCAGGAGGCTGAGACAGGAGAATTGCTTAAACCTAAAAGGCAGAGGTTGCAGTGAGCCAAGTTTATGCCACTGCACTCGAGACTCTGTCTCAAAAAAAAAAAAAAAGAAAAAGAAAAAAGAAAAAAGATTACTCCAGACAGTAGGGCAAAGTGAAGCTTCTGCCTCTACTTCACAGTGCATGGGCCTGTGGCCTGCAAAAGCCTGCCTGGAGGTGGAACTTAACTGAGGGTCTGCTTTAAAGAACCCACACCCATGTCTCCCCAGAGCTAGGAAATATCAGGCTCAGTTTCAGGATGGACAGTTCTCTCTCAGGAGAATTATTGGAGATAATATTAAAAACAGCATCTCATATTCCTGTGGAGAAAAAAAGGAGGACAAAGTGGTGTCGTTATTTGGCCTTACAGTGGCTATCTGGATACCACTGTCCTAATCCCAATAATAAAATTCTTCTTAGAAAATCTTTTTTTTTTTCTTGAGACAGAGTCTCGCTCTGTCACCAGGCTGGAGTACAGTGGCACAATCTCGGCTCACTGCAAGCTCTGCCTCCTGGGTTCAAGCATTTCTTCTGCCTCAGCCTCCCGATTAGTTGGGACTACAAGCGTGTGCCACCACACCTGGCTAATTTTTGTATTTTTTTTAGTACAGACAGGGTTTCACCATATTGGTCAGGCTGGTCTCGAACTCCTGACATTGTGATTCGCCTGCCTTGGCTTCCCAAAGTGCTTGGATTACAGGCTTGAGTCACTTAGAAAATCTTTATATTCCTTTTCAGCTTGTAAAGATGTTCAATTTTTGGAGGCGTGGGGTGGGGAGGGCTTTGAATTATATCACTCACAGGATTAGGAACCAGAAGATCCAGGTTCAAGTCCTAGTTCTGACTTTAGTTGTGAATTTTGAGGCAAAACACTTAAACACTGAGTAAAGATTTCTTATGTGAAACTGAAATAATGGCTATCCTAAGTACCTCACAAATAGGAGGCAGGATTTAAAGAAATGAGGGATTTGAAATAATTTTATGAACTGTAAAAAGTTTTAATGTAGACAGTGATTTTCATTGCCATAATATTAGACTTTCATTGATGTAATATGATTAAGATGACTCTACTTACCTTAAATAGAATGTACAGTATATATAAAAAAATCCCAAAGCCATAGATTGGAATAATCTGCCCCATCAGGCCTCTTCCACTACCTCCTCCTCCAGCGCCTCCAACTGATCCTTTGGCCTTTGCAAATGCCTCTGCAAGGTGAGACCTCTGGAAATGAGCCCCAGGAGTCTGGCCATCTGAGGGTGCCTGGTGATGATGCATCATAGGTGGAAATCGGCCCAACTTTCCTGAGAAGATAATAATCAGTTTTTATCTCTTCTACTATTTTAAAGATGGCTATCATGAAAACACCAAAGCATTAAGGTATCAATAACAGAGGCCAACTCAAATAAGTTTAAAAAAAAGGGGAACTTAATTAAAAAGATACAGTATCACACAGATACTAAATATGATGTGATCATCTCTAGCTGTTCACCAAATCCATTTTCTCTTCCTTCTGTGTCCTAAGCTAGACCACATTTTTCAGACTTCTGCATACAGTTAAATGTGGCCATGTAACTGTGTTCCAGCCAAGGAATGTGAGTAATTGTGCTAGCTCAAGACCTGGTCTATAAAACCTCCCTTGTTATTCAACTCCACGATCATTTCTCTACTGCAGTATGGATGCTGACACCCAGGGGTATCTTGGAAGCCATGGGTAGAAAACAGCAAAGCCTCCATCAACCTGAACTCCTAAATAACTATGTAGTGCAGAGCCCTCCACTACTGCCGCCTCACTAACTTAAGAGTCATCTGGACCTGTTTGTATGAGTGAGAAATCAACTTCTATTGTGTTAGGGTCTTATACACTTTGTCTATTTGTTATAGCGGTTAGCCACCCCTAACTAACATAGATAAGAAAATGCAATGCGGTCTCAGGAGAAAAGAGAACTAGAAACAGGAAAGCCATTTGGATCCAGGACAGGTACTTTCGCATTCTAACTCAATCTCTCTCCCTCTCTATGGGGCCATAAGGTGTTTTGTTTTTCTGTGCACATCTTTATTCTCTTTATTCTTTATTCTCCTTTCTTTGCAGACCATTTCTCTAGCTTCTTTGTGCACACAGGGGAAGATAGTTGCCCCCACCCCCCGATTTGCATGTTCTTCAAGAGGCTAGCTGAGACATCCAAATTTCAAATTCCTTGGAGGATGATTTTAAGTACTCAGCTTAGGTAGGTATACATCTCTTTCCAATCAGCTATACCTGAGCAGACAGGATTCCTGTAGCACAAGCAGGGTGAAAAAGGGGCTCAACCTTGTGAGTAGAAGAGCAGGGCTTGGGCTGGTGGGCAGTGGTGGGGAGGGGCAGAAGCAGGGGGAGGTGTTGCATATATTTTCTTGCATTTTTTTTTTCTTCCATCAAGGGCAGTCAAAAGTTAACACCAACTGACAGAAAGGTATCTTCAAACGGCCACATAAACAGGCTTGCATGAAAAACCACTGGGAAATAACATGATAGAACAGAAAACATTAGAGAGCGTAAATAACACTCTAAAAATATGAACAAAAATTTGCTGGATTTGACTTGAACAAAGTTGACAAAGATGTGGAAAGGCATGAATGTTCATGTACTGTGGGTAGGAGTGTAACTGACACAGATATTCTGCCTAGTGATCTGGCTGTACTTAGTGATATTACGTATGTACACACCCTATGATCCATTGATTCCACTCTGGTGAATAAATCCCACAGAAAATCTCAAATAAGGTTATATATACATGTGAATTACAGACTTTACAGACCTATGTGAGAATGTTTGCTGTGAAAATATTGTAGCAGGGAGTTTGAAGTAACTGATTTCCTTTGAAAGAATGAAAAATCAAAATGGAGTGAATATAAATATGGAATTCTACATAGCTTTGGAAATCACACTTTAGATATACCTACAGCAACATGAATACATCTTTAAAAGCATAGTATTAGGTTAAGAATAAGCAAATACCATTATGTAGGTTGAAAACACACACATAATGATGTATTTTTCAAGCAACTATGTAGGTATATAGACATAAACACATTAGAGTAGGTGCATATGAGCAGGAAAGGGAACTGGAATGTGGGTTAAGCATAAAGGACTAAAAGTAAAAGAATAAAACAAGAAAGTACTCTTCCACTGACAAAATTAATAAAATGCTATGAACTGAGAACTGTCTTTAAGTTGTCGACGAAGTGTCAAACTCTAAAACATTTCAAGAGATTTCTTCTGAGCCAAACGAGAGACCAAGGCCCATGACACAGCACTCAGAAGGTCCTGAGAACATCTGCCCAAGGCAGTCAGGGTGCAGCTTGGTTTCACACATTTTAGAGAGACATGAGACCTCAATCAAATACATTGGTTTGGTTCAGAAAGGCAGGACAATTTCAAGAGTGGGGGTGTGCTTCCAGCCTATAGGTAGATTTTAAAATTTTCTGGTTGACAATTGGTTGAACTTATCTAAAGACCTGGGATCAATAGAAAGGATATGTTTAGGTTAAGATAAAGGGTTGTGGAGACCAGGTTTTCCTAGTTTTATTGTGCAGAGGAAGCTCTCAGATAGCAGACTTCTGAGGGAGTAGGTTGTAAAATGTTTCTTATGTGAAAGGAAAATATTATGGGCCCCTTCAAGGTGGGCTAATGCTCATAGCAAATCTGCCTCCCATTTCTATTCAAAGTCAGCCTTCTGCTCACTGAGATAGATGCATATCTGACTGCCTCCTTTGGAAAAGCTAATCAGAAATTCAAAAGAAGGCAACCATTCCTCTCTCACCTATCTGTGACCTGGAAGCCCCTTCACCACTTTGAGTCTTTCTATCTTTGCTCCAAGTTGTCCCGCATTTCCAGACCAAACCAATGTACTTCTTACACATACTGATTGATGTCTCATGTCTCCTAAAATGCACAAAACCAAGCTGTGCCCTGATCACCTTCAGCACATGGCATCAGGACTTCCTGAGGCTGTGCCATGGGCATGCGTCCTGAACCTCAGCAAAATAAACTTTCTAAATTAACTGAGATCTGTCTCAAATTTGGGGGGTTTATACTTATCAGACTTAAAAGGGTGCCTTAGTTGATTTTTCTCCTGGGTCTGGAAAGAAAGAAAAAAAAAAAGCGGGTGAAAAGGAGATTCTCTGTAGAATGTGGAACTTTCCCGCAAGAGACAACCTTGCAGGGCAATTTCAAGCCATGGCAAGGGAACATATTTGGGGTTAAAATATTTTTATTTCTTTCCTTATTTGTTATTTGAAGTTATGCCAGAGTCAGGTGGGAAAGCGGGCTAGATTATATGGGGTTAAATAAAACGCCTCTGATGAGATTTCAGAGTTTGTAGGGTATGACTCCTCAGGCTTGTTAGGTAGGAATTTGGGTAAGATTTTAAAAATTAGCATTTAGTTCTCAAAGTCAACTCTGCTCCTGAGGTAAGAAAGAAGGAGGGTGGGCAGGCAGGCTTGGAAGTTGCCTTCCACCTTGTATCCTTTCTCAGCCGAACTCCACTCCAGTGATACTCCTTTTCCTCTCAATGCTGACACTGGATGACATGGAAATTTATGAAAAGAAATGCGTCTTTTTAAGAGTGGGTCGGCAACAGAAGCACAGCTTTAGATGGTAAAAGAAAGAAATCATCATGTCACCATCCTTTATTCTAGATGCTGGTGACTATGTCCCTTTAAAATTTTCAAGGATCTTAGTATATTAAATGACCAGTACTGGCTTTGGCCATTACGCACCTTCAAAAATATGCCTAACCGCCATTCAGGAAACTAATCTTTCTCTTGAGAGAATCTGATATATCAGGTGGCTAATGTTCAATAAACTAGATCTAATATTTGTAGTAATATGTTGTAGGACTTCACCTTACTGTGTTGAGAATACTATCTTCAAAAGTGGCATAAAACAAAAAAAATTAAAAATAGGTCTTACATAAAAAACATTATTTTGCATCTCTAAAATTTAAGAATGACATTACACATTCTCCCCAAAAACTTCTATAGACTTGTTATCCAGGAAGATTTATAGGATACCAATTATGTTCAAGATTCTGCCATATGCAAGAAAAGAAGACAGCAATAAATAGAAACAATAGTTCCCACATGGAACAATGCCTTCAAAAGCAGAATATCTAAAACAAAGACACAAATAGCAGCAGCAGCAGGGTATCAAGGACCTATTACTACATAAGCTAAATATTCAAGTACTGAAAAGACGCAAAATCTTTCTTTTAAAAAAAGAGGAGTCAAATGGAGTCAATCACTGAAGGGAATGAAAGAATAGCAGAGAAGCAAAAGCATACCAATAGGAAACAAGAGTGTGTATATGAGATAGGAAAAAGAAACCATGAAGTAGGACTTACTACCATATTAGTTTGCCTCCATTTAGGGAAGTAACAAGAGAGAAGGAGAAAGAAGTTAAGATGGGGAGGAGCTAAAATGCTAACTTGTGTGGTATATAAATTTGATACAGTAGACCTTGATGAGAAGGGTACTTGATGGGGATTAATCTAGCAGCTGAGCATAGGGCCTATTACAGAGAGAAACTAGGGTCTGGGAAAACATAAAAAAGGCTACTATAGTAATTTAGCACTGAGATGCAAATCCCTGAGGTGGTGGCTAGAGCCATAAAAAGGAAAGGATAGGTCTGCAAACTAAAAATAAAATTGTAAGCCCACCAACTGACTGATGGATCATCTCCTGGCCAAGGGGACCCTAGAGTAACCTTGAAAACTAAATTCTTGACTATGCTGGGATGGGGGTTCAGACACACCTCGTTTATATCCTCTCCCTCACAAACCACTATTAGCCTTTCTTCCCTAACAACTAAACGGAAACCAGCCATTTCAAAAAACCCCACCATGGCTGTCAACTAACCACATGATACTGCCTCTCCTTTTATTGCCTGATAAGAGACTACCAACCACAGAATGGTTCTGGTTAGTCTACAGAGAATGCACAGTAAGGATTTTCATGTCCTCTGCTTCACCTTTTGATATCAGAGGGGTGAAAACTCCATTCTCTGACCACACTATCACTATTTTGTGTGCATGAGACCCATGAAGGACATGTTTCTCCTTTCATAAATATTCATGACTCCCCCTATAGCTTATTGAATATGTAGATATGGCTACCTACTCAGCATGAATTCCTGTTCCTTTTGCCCATCCCTCCAAGTATGTGTTTCTGCTTTTGGCTGGAGGCTACGCTTCCCAGCCTGTCAGAATGGCCACACTGAAGATTGTGACTCTTTATAAGAAATAAAGTCTCCTCTTCTAAATTT